CTGGGAAGGAAAATATTCAGGGTCCTTTACATTACCTTTTTGGATGGATTTCACTATATTTTGTCAAGACTTACTCTCATGGGGATCCTCAGTCGATTTGTCCGATTCTTGATATTCATTTCATGCCATATCTTGGGTTTATTGGAAACCAATCGGCTGCCCAGTTTTTTACTGATAAATTTCCATTTGTGGACTCTCTCCTAACTTATCGTACGGAGTGTCAGTTTAGGGCTCTTACTCATGAAAGTGAACCTTCAGGCATTCTGGTCGACTCTGAAAGGATATCACCTTTCCACCTTGGCTATCTTATATCTTTGAGGCAAGGGATTTTAACTTTTAAAATGGGATTTAATTTCATTTCTAAACCGTACTCCCCTAACCGATACGATCTTCAATTTGGGTTTGCTCAAGCATGCCCTATACCGCTTAATGTATCTTGTCGGCAGCCCTCTGAGTGGTCTAAATTTTATTACAACTGGCGCCATATGTTACGCTGCGGTATAAAAGTCTCATTGGAGTTACTAGGCTCCCGATCTACTTCTCACGTAACCATGCCTTATGCCAATTGGTGGTTGGGAACTTCCTTTACCGTGCTCCAATATGTAGTCATTCCCAGCCGAAATCTTCACGCAAGAGAAAACTGGATATGCCAATTAAAGACCGAAAGACGAAGAATCCTTCTTACTCTAGAGCTAGGTCATCATCTTCACCTATTGCTCTGGAAGCATCATCACCTCAAAGAATGGATAATAGTCGACCACTTATTGCCCCTTCTCGGTCTAGTTACTCGGTTTCAGATCTCCTTCCTCTTTTCGAGGATATGTGTAATTCTCAATTTAAAATGAGATTTAGCTTTGAGCAAGTAGATTCTGGCCCTCAATTTGCTTATCTCGCAAAGCTTTTTCCAGAGACTATGTCTATCAGTGATTGTACAGGAACTTCCCAACTCACCGTAGCGACCAAAACCCCAATGGATCAATTTCGCACATACTTGTACTCTTTTCTTGAAGATAAAGATGGGAATATGATTCAAGAACTCTTTGAGGGAGATAGGTATGAATTAACTGCCTTCGGTCGTATTCGCATTAAGAGTGTTGAAATTCCTTCTCCTACCAAATCTTTTGATTGTTCTCTCAATGGAAGTAGCGAGAGTGAAGATGAGTTTTATGACTACACCCCTCTTTTAGATGGCACACCGACTAAGATGAGTAAATCGCCCTCAGCAAATGTAGCTTTTTCTTCTCCTTCGAACGAGTCATCCAAGCTATTAGAGAAAGGTATAATTTATTTTTATTTATTTTATTTATTTTATTTTATTTTTATTTTTATTTTTTATTTTTTAATACCTTTCATTTTCTTAGGCACTGCGCCTCAGACTTCCCCAGCTGCCTCACATATGCCATTGGTTACCTTTAAGGGTATTCTTATTCATTCCTTGTACCTCATTTTATTTCATCATGTATAGATACTCAAGGAACTCTTTTCTCTTTAGATCATGCCACATTGCAAAATCCATGGTCGACTTGTGGGAATCACAATTTGTCTCATCCACCTAAGTCTCCTCAAGCCGTACACCAAGGGATACTTCATTCATCTATATATATATATATTGTTTTTACCTTCGACGTTTTCATTGAGTATCTCCTTCTATTTTCACAGAAAATACTTCTGACACATTGGAAGAGACAGGCGAAATTACTTCTGATACCTCGGAAGAGGCCCAAATTCTTGCAGACTTACTTGAGGCAAATGGGGTTAACAAATTATTTGACAAACTTGAAGCAACTTTTGCTCCATCTAACCTTCTTTTGGGAACCTCTTCTAACGAAGCAGCCACCCATATTCAGAAAGGTCTTACTATTTCTCTCCAATCAATGATGGATGTTAATGGCATGATTGTTGTAGCAAACAACGTTTTCATGATTTTGAAGAGTTTGGGTGTAGACTTCATTTCCTTTTATGAGAAGGTGAAGATATTCCTTGGGTGCTTTGCTTTGAAAACCCAACTTGCAGATTCTTCAAACTTGTCTACTGTAGAATTTGAGGCCCAATATTATGAGAAGAAGCTTCATTTCGACAAAGTTTCTGGTGAACATGAACAGTTGTCTGCTTCAATTATCAAGTCTGATGAGCACATTGCGGGTCTTAATCAAAGGATTATTCAAACCAAAGAGTTACTCAAACAACTTGAAGAGGAATTGTCATCCATCCAAGCGGAACATGCATCATTTATGTGTGATTTTGCACAAGCTTCCGAGAGTGTTTCTAAATCAGAAGAAGACGTGTAAATTGCTCTGAATGTTTTGAGCCAACACAAGAAGAAGAATGGACAACACAGTGTTGTGGAATGTGCTTTTGAAAGGGCTAAGGCTTCTCTTAATGAATGAATGCACTTTTATTTTTTTATTCATCCGAACATAATGTATTTATGAAATTTCGCTCAATGATAGATTTATTTGTTATATGAAATTTCTCAATACAATACATTGATTTATCTTATTTTGGCCGTACACAGTTTATACTCTTGCGGGCCAAGAGTATCCAATGTTTTACCACCTTAGATTTCAGTGGGATATTTTAGCAGTTTAACCACATACAATACCGTTGGTGGGGTTTGACTTTTGTTTGGTCGTACACAGTTTATACTCTTGCGGGCCAAGAGTATCCAATGTTTTACCACCTTAGATTTCGCTCAGTGATAGATTTATTTGTTATATGAAATTTCTCAATACAATACATTGATTTGTCTTATTTTAGCCATACACAATAGATTTATTTGTTTATATGAAATTTCTCAATACAATACATTGATTTGTCTAATTTTAGCCATTCACAGTTTATACTCTTGCGGGCCAGGAGTATCCAATGTTTTACCACCTTAGATTTCGGTGGGATATTTTAGCAGTTTAACCACATACAATACCGTTGGTGGTGTTCGACTTTTGTTTAGCCGTACACAGTTTATACTCTTGCGGGCCAGGAGTATCCAATGTTTTACCACCTTAGATTTCGGTGGAATATTTTAGCAGTTTAACCACATACAATACCGTTGGTGGTGTTTGACTTTTGTTTAGTCGTACACAGTTTATACTCTTGCGGGCCAGGAGTATCCAATGTTTTACCACCTTAGATTTCGGTGGGATATTTTAGCAGTTTAACCACAACAATACCGTTGGTGGTTTTTGACTTTTGTTTGACCGTTTCGGGTTTTCAACCTAGCAGGCTTTCTTAAGGGTAATATCTCTTCAAGAACCTTGCATTGGTTGGGGGAATGATTCTGTCACCATCCATCGTTATCAACAAATAGGCCCCATTAGAATAAACCTTCTCAATCACATAAGGTCCTTCCCATTTGGGCTCAAGCTTTCCTTTGGTTCTTCGTGAGACTACTATGGGTGTTCTAACCATTAGTACCAAGTCTCCCTTTTTAAAGGAACGAAGCCTCACTCTTTTATTGAATGCATTTGCCATCCTTTGTTGGTAGATTTCCAAGTTCTGTTGAGCATACAACCTTCTTTCATCCAGGGTCTCCAGCTCAGCCAGCCTCACTCTTGCACTTTCATCTTCTGTTAAGGACTCTTGTATTGCCACTCGTAATGATGGTATTTGAACCTCAAGTGGTAACACTGCTTCTCCTCAAAAAACCAACGAATAAGGGATTGCTTGAGTAGGAGTTCTGTGCGAAGTTCGATAAGCCCACAAAGCTTCTTGTAACTTTTCGTGCCAAGCTTTTTTGTTCTTATCCACCATCTTCTTAAGAATTTTGCACAATGTCTTGTTGAAAGCTTCTGCCAAACCATTGGCAGGTGCATGATATCTTGATGAATGGTTGTTTTTGATTTTGTACTTGGCAAATAACTTGTTCAAAGCATCACTCCTGAATGGCTGTCCATTATCCATGATGATACTTTCTGGAATCCCAAACCTGTAAATGATATGGGTTCGGATGAACTCGGAGACAACTGTGCTTTTTATATCCTTTAAAGCCACAGCCTCTGCCCATTTTGAAAAATAGTCAGTTGCAGCTAGGATGTATCGATATCCTGTTGAAGATGGAGGTACAAAAGGACCAATAATGTCCATACCCCATGCTGCAAATGGCCAAGAACAAGTTGTTAAATGTAAAGGCTCTGGGGGTTGGTGGAGAAAGTTCCCATGGAATTGGCAAACTTGGCATCTCCGAGCATAATCTACGCAATTTGTAATCATAGTTGGCCAATAGTATCCCAACCATTTCAACTGCGAATGTAACTTCGGACCACTTTAGTGTACCCTACAAACACCCGCGTGTACTTCTGGTTTTAGCTGCATATGTAATTTAGGACCACTTTGGTGTGCCTCACATACACCTGCATGTATTTCTGCCATTACCTCTTGAATACGCTCCTTGGCTATACACCGCATAAACATTCCATCCAAAGACCTTTTGTATAACGTTCCATCTTTCCACAGGACGAATTTGGTAGCCATGCGTCTCACTTCAATTTTTTTTACTTTATCTTCAGGTAGCCTACCATGTTGGAGGTAAGCTATGAATGGTTCCCGCCAATCCTCCTCATTTTCTCCTTTCGTGGTGACAACCAAGATTGGAACCAAGTCGGAAACCTCTTTTAAAGGTTGTAACACCCTTCTTTCACCTACCGTGATAGTAATTGTTTTGCTATCTGGTAGGGTGAGTGATGCAGCCAAACTTGCAAGTGAATCAACTCGAGCATTTGTTCTTCTCTTCACATGGAAAATATGTGTTTTTCTGAATTGCGAAAGCAATTGATCAACCCTTTCATGATTCGAGATGAGACTTGTTTTCTTAACAATGTATTCTCCACGGAGTTGCTTTACCACCAGTTCCGAATCTCCATAAATTGAGAGTTTTTCAATAGGAATTTGTAATGCCAATTGTAATCCAGCAATTACAGCTTCATATTCTGCCTCATTATTGGAGCATCCTTCACTTAAGGCGAAAGAATGGGTGATTATAGCATTGTCTGGAGTCACAAACACAATTCCAATTCCAGCTTTATTGTTTTTAGGATTTTCTTGCTTTTTGCCATCTGGACTCCTTGAAGCTCCATCAAAATACATCTCCCATCCTTTTTGAATTTCTACTTGCATAACCTCTTCATCCGGTAAATCACTTACTAGAGGTGAGTCATCAGGTATAGGATGTGCTGCCAAAAAATCTGCTAGAGCCTGCCCATTTATAGCTCTTTGGGAAACATATTCAATTGCGAATTGTTGGAGAATTACAGCACACTTTGCAATTTTCCCTGAAAGTATGGGCCGTGAGAGTATATATTTCAAGGGGTCTGCTCTTGATATCAACTTGACTTCATGTTCCAAGACATAGTGCTTTAGTTTTTGCAAGGCGAACACCAAGGCAAGACATGTCTTTTCGATAGGGGAGTAATTGACCTCTGCCCCAACCAAAGTACGGCTCAAGTAATACAAGGCATTTTCTTTCCCATGCTCATTATGTTGTGCCAACAATGCCCCTAACGAACAATCCAAGGCTGTTATGTACAACAAAAGTGGTTTTCCTTTTATTGGGCTCATAAATACTGGAGGCTTCAAAAGATACTCCTTAATACTGTTAAAAGCATTTTGGCACTGCTGATCCCATTCAAATGGAACACCCTTTTTCATCAATCTTGAGAACGGCAAACATCGACCAGCCAAGTTAGAAATAAATCTTCTGATATAGGCCAATCTCCCTTGTAGCCCCTTCAATTCCCTTAAATTTCGTGGAGGAGGCATTTCGGCAATGGCTTTAATCTTGGTAGGATCAATTTCAATCCCTTTGTTTCGAACCACAAACCCAAGAAATTTTCCTGATGAAACTCCAAATGCACATTTTAGTGGGTTCATCTTGAGTTTGTACCTCCTCAAACGTTCGAAGATTTTTCTCAAATCTTCCACATGGTTTTCCTTTTCCTTTGTCTTGACGACAAGATCATCAACATAGCATTCGATGGTGTCATGGAGCATATCACCAAAAATTATAGTCATCGCCCTTTGATACGTGGCCCCAGCATTTTTCAGGCCAAAAGGCATTACCTTATAGCAAAAGACTCCTCTCGGAGTCCTGAATGCAGTCATTTCTTCATATTTAGGTGCCATTCGGATTTGATTGTATCCTGAGTATCCATCCATAAAAGACAAGGTTTCATACCCAGTAGTTGCATCTACAAGAAGTTCAGTGATGGGCAAAGGAAAGTCATCTTTAGGACAAGCCTCATTGAGATCACGAAAATCAATGCAAACCCTGATTTGACCATTCTTTTTCTTGACTGGCACTATGTTTGCTAGCCAGGTTGGATATTTGACTTCTCTGATGAATCCTGCATTGATAAGCTTGTCGACTTCGGCTTCAATTTGGGCTGTAAGCTCTGGTCGAGTTCGCCTTTGAGGCTGTTTAACTGGCCGTTTCTCAGGGTGAATTGCAAGCTTATGGACTGCAATCTCTGGATTAAGACCAGGCATCTCACTGTAGTTCCATGCAAATATGTCATGATACTCCCTTAAAAAGGAAATATATTGCAGAGCTTCTTCTGTTGGTGCAGGTTGAGCTTTATCTTGGTCAACATCTTCCAACACATCTTGAGTGATAGTCATGTTTACTGGAAATTTTTCCTCATTCCCCTGATAGCCTAACCCCTCTGTCCTAGCGGTGATAATACCGCCTTGCTGGATAGCCTGCCTCTATGAAGGTGTTAATACAAAGTCAAAGG